ATACATACTTCAGGTTGGAGTTATCTGGGCTCAGGGTGAAACAAGTAGAGATCATGGTGTGTTTTTTGGAGACATTTCATCTCCCGATTCGAGCACAGCTTCCTCAGTACAATGGTTTGAAAGTGAGTTTTGCCTTGCGGGATTCATATAGTCCATGTGATATTGGAATTTGGGGTGTGGCGGTGGCGATGGATTAGTTGGTGAGAGAGGAGGTGTCTTCTCGGGTTGTGAAACCAAGAAGCACTGATTGATTAAAAGTTGGGAATGTTATCCTATACAGTGGTGGGTTGCTACTGGTTTGCACCAGATCGGGCGAACCAGTAGTGGCGGTGGCAGGAGGTTCCGCCCACCTGCTCGGACACTTCTGTACATGCGTGCAAGTGGGTGCATGCCCACGAGCGAACCGATAGCGATGGGTTTTTTGAAACCCATCCCGATCCTATAGAAAACTAGCTTTGATTGATTCAATGATTGATTCTTTCATTGATGAATGGTAGCTGCATCTATATTCTATTCTATTCTATTCTATTCTATTCTATTCTATTCTATTCTATTCTATTCTATTCTATTCCATTCCATTCCATTCCATTCCATTCCATTCCATTCCATTCCATTCCATTCCATATTTTCTGTTCTGTTCTGTTCTACTCCACTCCACTCCATTCCTTCCATTTCTCTCCCCCTTTCCTTTCCTTTCCTCCTTCCTTCCCTTTCCATCTATTTACTTCCTTCCCTTCCAGGGGTGGGTTTTACTTATCTTTACTACTGGTTTGCAATGGGGCCGCGCACAAGCACAGATGATGTTTTGATGATGTCATGGTCAGTGGGCGGAGCCTCCCGTCGGCTTTACTACCAGTTCTATAGAACCAGTGTGAACTGGGGGCAACCCACACTGTTCCCTTCCCTTCCCTTTCCCTTCAAATTCCCCTTTCCTTTCCTTTCCTTTCCTTTCCTTTCCTTTCCTTTCCTTTCCTCCTTCCCTTCCCTTCCCTTCCATTCCATTCCATTCCATTCCACTTCATATTGTCTGCAAGGAAAATTGTCAACAGCAGAAAAATAAATCTATTTGGCATTCTAGAGGGGATTCATCTAACCTTTGATTTCATTGTCCCTTTTAAAACATAAAATCTTTGGATGACATGAGCTGCCCATTTTCCTTCCCAAACTATTTCGAGTCTAACACTGCATGATAAAAGCGACCATGCCATGCTTCTCTTGGAACTAACAATTACTTGCTAAATGTATATAGTGGGAATTTGTAAAATAGGTTTAATGCCATGAAAGAGGTTATCTTAACCCCAGAGTTGCATTAGCAACTCTCACCCCTTGCTCCTTTTCACTTGTTTCCTTTTCGCAAATTTTACTTTTGCTCCACTTATCAGGAGAAGCTTTCTGATGGCCTAAATTGTGCTGCCAATGACACTTAAGTTACATTTTTGGACGGAGAAGAAAAGGCAAGCATTTTCAAGATTTACACTGACGGGGGAAAAAAAGTGTTATTTTGCAAAGGAGCTTCAGAGATTGCAGGATTAGTTTAAAAGATCCCTATGACTAACTTAAAGGCACTTTTGTTATATTGCCATGTAAGTCAGGGGCAATGGTGAAATCTGAACCGGTTTGCTACCAGTTCGCTGGCCGCGGATGTGCGCTGTGCACCAAGTTTATGCTGCGTGTGCACATGTGCACCAAACATGCACTGTGTGAGCATGTGCAGTGCACACCGAACACACACTGCACATTTACAAAGCTACCAGTTCGGTCGAACCGGTAGTTTAAAAAAGCTACAATCTGACAATCAGCTGTGTTGCACGGTTTAGCTTTGCTAGAAAGCAGGATTTCCTGCTTTCTAGCAAAACTAAACCACCCGGCACAGCTGATCGTCGGATCATAGCATTTTTAACTACCGGTTCGACCAAACTGGTATTTTTTTAAGCTATCGGTTCAACTGAACCGGTAGCTACTGGTCCACCTGAATTGGTAGCATTTTTAACTACCAGTTCGAATGAACTGGTAGGGTTTTTTTTTTTACTACCGGTTTGCCTGAACCGGTAGTTTTTATCACTACTGGTTCGCCTGAACTGGAGCGAACTGGTAGCATTTCACCCGTGGTCAGGGATCTCCAAATTTGGTAACTTTAAGAGGTTTGGACTTCAACTCCCAGAATTCCACATGGCTGGCTGAGGAATTCTGGGACTTGAAGTCCACAAGTCTTAAAGTTGCCAAGTTTGGAGATCGCTGGTGTTAGGATATGAATGTTTTCCTGCCTATGATTTGGGGGGAAAACATGGGGAAAGATTTATTAGAAGATCCAACTTCTAGTAGCTTCTTACAACAGGTGCAAAATCTCCTCAAAGGTGCTCTTCCTTTTTCAGTAAACAGGTTTCCATAAGATGGGGGTACAAGAGTTTTTTAAAAAAAACTAACAAAATTTCAAAGAAACACAAGAATGTGTGCAGAAATAAACAAGATGAAATGAGACCAAACACTTAGTAAAACAATACAGTCTTTTAAATTCACATTAGAATGATAAATACCCCATTTGCATAACACATATAATGAGGTAATAATTTCCCTTAAACCAAACTCAACTCCTAAGGATCTCAAAAAGTCCTCCATGCTGGTTTCTTAGGAAAAATACACAAGTGGTCTAACATTGCCTTTTCTAGGATGGATGTTTTGCCCCCTGAGAGGGATTGCTCCAATTTGATGCTGCAACACTTCTAGTCCTCATGCAGTAAAACAAAGGTCTCCAACATGCCCAACTTTACTATTTACGACTTCCGGACTTCAACTCCCAGAATTTGTCTACGGAGATTCTCAGTCATCCAGCTCATGGTCGTTCCAAAGGTGCTTTTTTTCAAAACAATAACTAAACTTTGTTTTCCCTTGAAGACGCTTCGCTTCTCATCTAAGAAGCTCCTTCAGTTCAGAACTGAAGACACATCTTGGATGAGAAGCAAAACATCTTCAAGAAGAAACAAAATCGCCTTTTGACAAAGCACCTCCCAAATTCTGGGAGTTGAAGTCCACAAGTCTTAATGTTGCCAAGATTGGAAACTTGGCAACCTGAGGACTTCAATTCTGATGCTGGGAGTTGAAGTCCACAAGTCTTAATGTTGCCAAGATTGGAGACTTGGCAACCTGAGGACTTCAATTCCCATTCTGGGAACTGAAGTCCACAAGTTTTAGAGTGGCCATGGTTGGAGACCTTTATACTAGATGGTGATATTCCTTCATAAAAGGTCTACATGGCATGGGATTGGGGTATAGGCAAGACCACTTGACCTCCAGTGATATCTTCCCATCCCACATGATCTAATGGGGGGGGGTATTCTTTGAGGACCTTCCTTAAAGAACACTAGTGAGGTGGCCCAGAAGACCTCTTCTGTGGAACCTCCTGTTCTCTGGAGAGATCTTCTTCCTGAGATATGTCTGGCCTTGCTTCAGAAAAGCAGATTTTTTTTTTTTACCTCAGATTTTTGCGGACACATGACTGGAATTTCATTCACAGACATCTGCCTGGAGCCACAGCACAAGAGTTGGGTGACCATATCAAATAAATGATAAATAATATGAGATGGCAAGAGTACAAAAATAGGTAACTTTTTTCAATGGAAAACACTCTTGAAAAGAGCGTTACGAGTAACATCCTCTACATCAGGGGTGTCAAACTCAATTTCTTTGAGGGCCGCATGAGGGCTATGATTGACTTCAAGGGACATGGAGCAGAGGTGCTATTTAGCAGGTTCTAACAGGTTCTGGAGAACCGGTAGCGGAAATTTTGAGTAGTTCGGAGAACTGGCAAATACCACCTCTTGCTGACCCCAGAGTGGGGTGGGAATGGAGATTTTGCAATATCCTTCCCCCAGGAGTGAGGAGGGAATGGAGATTTTGCAGTATCCTTCCCCTGCCATGCCCACCAAGCCATGCCCACCGAGCCACACCACGCCCACCAAGCCCTGCCCACAGAACTGGTAGTAAAAAAAAATTTGAATTCCACCACTGGCGTGGAGGGAGGCATGGCTGACTGGGTGGGTGTGGCCAACTGGGTGGGTGTGGCCAGCTTGACGCCACTCCCCAAATTGCTTGGGTTTCCTTTTCACATTGGGTAGACTGGGCTGAAACCACGCTAGGCCAATCTTTCCTCTTCGCATTGGGTAGACCAGGACGGCCCCGTGGGCCGGATCTAGCCACATGGACCTTGCGCCTGACACCCCTGTTCTACATACAACCATTCGTTTAAGCGACCATTTGAAGTTACCAATGAAAAAAGTGATCTATAAGTATTTTTAACACTTATGACCATTGCAGCACCCTATGGTCACGTGATCAAAATTCAGATGCTGGGCAACTGACTCACATTTATGACGGTTGCGGTGTCCCCAGGGTCATGTGATTCCCCTTTGGCGACCTTCTGACAAGCAAAGTCAATGAGGAAGCCAGATTCACTTAACAACCATGTTACTAACTTAATGCAGTGATTCACTTAACAACCATCCTCTTTGAACAACCCCATAATCCCTTGCGGGGTGGAGTCTGGGCAACTGAATGGAGCTGAGTGCTTAATGGCCGGATGCCTTTCCTGTCACCAATGCGGAGTTTTTTTTTCCCCAGCAGATACATTCTCAGTGTGCCCAGAGAGAGAAGTATCTGCCTCTACCTAGGATCGAACTCACAGCCTCCTGATTGTGAGGCGAGAGCTCCACCTCTAGGCCACCGCACCACTCAGTGATTCACTGAACAACTGTGGCAAGAAAAATGGGTCAAAACTCACTGAACAACCGTCTTGCTTAGCAACGGAAATTTGAGGCGCCATTGTGGTCGTAATTCGAGGATTATATTGTATTACTTTTTTTCTTCAGTTGGGCCTTCTATTTTCTGTCTCATCTTAAGAAAACCCGCCATGGACTGCTTTCTTTTTGACCTGAAGTGCCACATGGGACCTGAACCACGGTTGATACAGGATTAACAGGGAATTAATAATGGTTTGAAAAACTTAC